ATTTTACACTGGTCCTCACACAAAGATCCCCCCCACACATAGCCTTAACAGACCGTTGGGGCAAGTGCTGTAAGCGAGCACCTATTAAGGCGGGCACGACAGTATGGGGAGGTAGATTGCTAACACCACACCCAGCCACCTTTGTCTCCCCTGAGCTACTGTTTTACAAACCGCTCGAGGTACTCATTGAAGGCAAACTCGAACGGTTCAGATATTCGTCACCATAGTTGGCCACGAGCGAGAACCCAACTCAGGAGCAGTGTGCTCGGCACTGCGTTACTGCCCCTCAAAGTCACACACTCGCACAAAGTATCGAACGTGGCGATCGTAGACTGTTGGCCGGCACAGCACCTGACGAGGGGGTGGTGTGGAAGGCTGAGTGGACCTAGAGGAGGCCCAGGACAGGTCCACGTTTCCGCTTGCTGCCGGTTATTGAGCAAGGCTGGGAGTCTAAACTTAAACTAAACTAGTTTATTTTACCAGGTAAGGCTCCACTGAGCTGCGTAGCTCTTTGTCAGAAGCGACCTGGCCACAAGTGATAGCTCAACTAAGTGGGTTATCACGTGGATATGTATAGCAGTCAAAGACTCTAAACGTGTGTTGATTTTAAATGTGGAGGGGAAAATGGGAGGTCACCGGGTTCGTAGTTTGCGGCAGCGTGCCAAGCTATACAACTCTGCTCCGTGCACAGACAAATATTCCCCGTGTACTCACAGGGACTGCCGGGCCAGGTGCTGTGAGCAAGTGCCAATTTACACCCCACAGGTAAACACTCACCTTCGTCGTCCACGTACCCACGCACGAAAGGCACCGCAGATTCTCACGTTCATAAACTCACACATAAACAAAGATAAAGATTCCCCAACCCCCAATGGACTTTAACAGGCTGTTGGGGCAAGTGCTGTTAGCGAGTAGCACCTGTGGATGCCAGAACGCCGCACGAGCAGTGCCGGATGAAGCTAGTGCGGGGCCTGTAGCGTACGTTATAAAGGGGCCCTAAATTAAAAAAAACACACGTAATAATTCAAACACAAATGTTTTACTTGCATAGTAAAGTTATTGTATTTTTTTCATTTGCTATACAACGAGATAATACGACAAATCGCTAACCTTAAACACCCAGTCGTTCATAAAAGTTGAAGGTGGTATAGTACTACAGTAATAGAGCAAGTGCAGAATCACTGAACCGGAATTGATAGCTTGAAAGTGCAGGGCCCGTAGCTACTACTACACATGTGTAGCTACTACTACTACATGTGTAACTACTACTACACATGTGTAGCTACTACTACACGTGTGTAGCTACTACTACACGTGTGTAGCTACTACTACTACACATGTGTAGCTACTACTACTACACATGTGTAGCTACTACTACTACACATGTGTAGCTACTACTACTACACGTGTGTAGCTACTACTACACGTGTGTAGCTACTACTACACGTGTGTAGCTACTACTACATGTGTAGTTACTACTACACATGTGTAGCTACTACTACACATGTGTAGCTACTACTACTACATGTGTAGGTACTACTACATGTGTAGCTACTACTACACATGTGTAGCTACTACTACACATGTGTAGCTACTACTACATGTGTAGCTACTACTACACATGTGTAGCTACTACTACATGTGTAGCTACTACTACTACATGTGTAGCTACTACTACTACATGTGTAGCTACTACTACATGTGTAGCTACTACTACTACATGTGTAGCTACTACTACTACATGTGTAGCTACTACTACACGTGTGTAGCTACTACTACACATGTGTAGCTACTACTACACATGTGTAGCTACTACTACACATGTGTAGCTACTACTATATATGTCGCTACTTGTGCTACGAGGATAATCCGGCACTGCGCACGAGGGGTTTGTGTGACCAGCACCACGCCCGACCACTTTTGTCTTCCCAAGTGGCGATGTTTACACGGCGCACCAGGTACTCATGTGAAGCTGAGTCGACCTAGAGGAGGCCCAGGACCGGTTCAGGTAATCGTCGCTGGTTTTGCCCATGAGCAGGAATCGAACCCGGGTCGTCGGGTTCGTAGCGCAGCGTGGTGACCGCTACACTACCGCTGCCCACTTGCACACATAACCCTATACACACACACACATGACCCGATCCACACACACACACATAACCCTATACACACACACATGACCCGATACACACACACATAACCCTATACACACACATAACCCTATACACACACACGTAACCATATATACAGACACAGTGAAGTGAATAACACGCCGACGTACAGGCGACACAAGAGTAGGGGAAACAGAGTGCGCACAGCTGACACGGTGACGCAATGAGGGTGACATATGGGGGGGGGGGGTGTGGGGAGCGGGTGGGTGGGGGGCATGGGTAGAGAAGGGGGTGGAGAACGGGGGGGGTACCTGTACATCGATGGGGCCCCCCTTGAAGGGATCGCCTCTGAAGGCGCCGTCGTCCACGAGGCTCGAGACGGCTCCCAGCTGAGGGCGGCACGAGACAAAGCGACGATCAGCGTTGGCACGGACGGCCGTGGCCCCCTCCGTCTCCAGCGTTCACTACTCGAGGTGCGTTTGGAGCATTTGGCCGCCGCTATAAATGTCCACGCGATCAGAAGCCCGATAGCCTGTTGGAGTCTATTGGGGGTTGGGGAAGCTTTGTCTTTGTCTTTGCGTGGGTTTATGAACGTGGGAATCTGCGGTGCCTTTTGTGTGTGGGTGCGTGGGTACGTGGATGAGTGTTTACCTGTGGGGTGTAAATTGGCACTTGCTCACAGCACCTGGCCCTGCGGTCTCTATGGGTACACGGGGAATATTTGTCTTTGCACGGAGCCGCCACGAACTACGAACCCGGTGATCTCCGGTTTTCCCCTCCACATTTAGAAGCAACGTGCGTATAGAGTCTTTGGCTGCTATAAACGTCCACGTGATACGCCACTTAGCCGAGCTATCATTTGTGATCGCCAGGTCGCTTCTGACACATACAGCTCAGTGAGCCTTACCTGGTCGCAATGAAAAATAAGTTAAGACAAGATAAAGTTCTCCGTCACTCCCTCTCCACGAGCCATCATCATCTCTCGCCACTGCCACCCGGCGTGCTGCTCCAACCCCTCTAGTCCTACATTCTCATTTTCCCTCGACTTCCCTTCCTCCTTCTCCTCCGCTTCATCGGCTGCCGACCTGTTGCCCATCTCACAGCCGGCTGCCACCTGACTTCCTCCCGAGATGTCCTGCCCAGCTCACTTTGTAAATGGCAATCTGCCATCGGAAATTGAGTTACGAGGAAAGACCCAAAACTCCACAACAGACGCTGCCGCTTGGACGTGAAACATGCGGAGATGCGTTGGCGGAAGTGGCTCGGTGGCTCATCGCGGAGAGATTCCTCAAGTCTGCGTCAATACACTGGGAGTGACAACGTCAAGATCCTGGAATCAAAGCTGGGCTTGAACTGTCGAGAGATTCATTTCGGCTCCTGGGTGTCGTGAGTCGACGGTTTTAGACCAGTCAATCATTTTGAATTATTCCAGCTTTGAGCGGTGCCAACCCAGCCAGGTACACAATTTAGTCCGCCTTTGCGTTAATTCATTCTCTCATTCATTCGTCCTTCTTCTCTCGTTTGGTGGTGGGTCGATCGGCGTCGTCTAGGAGTTGGCGTGGAGGCGGGCGGGCGAGCGAGCCAGTGGACGGGCTGCTGGTGCTACTCAGTGATCCGTTCTTTCATTTCACTTGGCCCAGTCTAGCGCCGGAGGGGATAAACGTCTTGGCCGGATTTTCACGCAGCACGCTGCTTCCGCCGGAGACAAAAGCAGCGTTCATCTAAACGGGGCCTATTGAAGCGACCCCGGACAATGAGCTCTGTGCCAGAGAGCCCCACTCAAGCACTGTACTGGATCCGATCTAGAAGGGAATGGGTACACAGAATTTAATACATAGGGCGTACTGGCACTTGTCACAGAAATGTGGAATTTCCACCACTGGCTCAAGGGGCTGTGTTTGGGTTTGATGTCCTTCCCCCGCACCTCCGCTGAGCGCAGTTGGCTACGTACGGTGCGAGAGAAGTTCAGTGCACACGCATATATAACATGCTGATGTCAATGTGATACGTCTCCAACTTGTGTTCGCTCTGTAATTCATTAATTTCTTTAGAACTGATTTTGTGTGTGTTTAGTTTGTCGTCCTTCCCCAGCACTTCCGATTAGCACGGTTGGCTCCGTACGGTGCGAAAGAAGTTCAACGCACGCGAAGTACGAAGTTCGTTTAAAAGAAAGAGAATCGACAGCCGAGATTGGGTGCGGCGCATTGCAGGGGTGTGACGACGCATCCGTCCGTGAGTCAACATCGAATCCCAAAGCTCACGATGCATGCATCTCGCCACGTGTGTGACAATTCATGTGTTTTAATTGCATGCAAATGGGAATGCAGGTGGCATGCAAATGTGATGCCAATGTCACAGAGCCCAGGTGTCGGGCCGCGTGGGAGGGCACGTCGAGACAGCGCCGAGCAGCATCCACCCACCGGTGGCGACCAGGAGAACATCCAACAAAAAGTGAGCCCTCCTAGGCAAGACACCCAGACCATCCTCCTGCCCAGGGATATCTCCTTTCAGTTTAATTTATTTGGTATAGCCCTGTGAGCCATTCGGCTCTTGAATCGGGTGCAACCGCAACAAACAAAAAACTAAAACAGGAACAAGAAAACATCTTAAAGTGACTATGTGCAAACAGAAAATCCAAGAAAAGACAGCAAAATATTGCAGAAAAAGCACCGTACACCAACGCTGTGTGCAAAAATCCCAGTGGGATGCAAGTCAAACAACAACAACAACCACAAGACAACTTAGATTAAGGCCATCAGTCTAACTCCGTACTACAACAAACAAACATGGCCAAACCAAAAAACTTTTCGATATCACCAAAATAAAGCCATAAAAACAATGAAACAGTGATCATCGGAACTATGACCGAATTTTCACAATAAACGACATAAATAACATGTACCACCAAACCCGAGCAAAGCCCCCCCCCCCCCCAAACCATCCCCCTTCCCAGGGTCTCCCTTAGCCAAGACCCCCAAACGAGCCCCCTTCCTCGTGGTCCCTCCTAGCAAAAGCCCCCAAGCGAGCCCCCCCCCCCCTTCTTATCCACAATTCTCGACGGAGACGGGTGGCCCTGCATGGCCACGCGGCGGCTCGTGGCTCGCAATGGGAAGACTGTGAGCTCATATCTCAGGTCGGGCTCCCATTGGTTGACAGCCCTGTTGGGGGGGGGGGGGGGTATCAATAAAACGAATAACACTGCGAGGTAGACTGGGCCCAGCCATGGCACTGTGGAAATGTCACACTGGTTCGTGGCTGCCAATGGAGATGAGTGTGTGCATTTGAGCTGACATGTCTCTCTCTCTCGCTCTCTCTCTCTCTGCCTGTGGTCGCGTGGATTTTTCTCCGGGTCCTCCGGTTTTTCCCTCCACATTTGGAACCAACTTCACCACGCGTTCAGACGATTTGTGCCGCGATACATTTCCCCGTGATAATGATGAGCCACTTCGTCGGGCTCTCATTTGTGATGTCCGGTCGCTTGCGAAACAGATCCACACAGCTCAGCGGGGCCTTACCTGGTAAAATAAAAAAAACTAGTTTAGTTTAAGTTTAGATTGCCAGCCTTGCTCAATAACTGGAAACAAGCGAAAACCTGCACCTGTCCTGGGCCTCCTCTAGGTCCACTCAGCCTTAATTGAGTATCCATCATGGAATGTGAACATGAATGTGAGTGTTCAGAGCGCTTTTCCACTGCTTGGGAGGTCGGGTGGCGACGAATCTTGCCGGTGCGCCGACGACACGGGGCGTTGCCGGCTTCGTTCGGCAGCGCATGCCCTCGCCGAGCGGATCAACGGAGATCAAAGCCACGCGGAATACTCCACGCAACAACGGTTTCTTTGTGCTGCTCTGCAAGGAAGTAAAAGGCACAAAGCGCTCGGAGCGCCGGTTCCGGCGCGCTTGTGCGCGACTCGCCGCGGCACATCTGAGCGCGTTCACCACGCGGGGAAGACGTCGCTCCCACGGCGCAGCGACAAGACGGCGGCGTGGCCGCTCACGGCCGCCAGACCTCGCGGAACGCGCTCCCGGCAGAGTCGCGTTGGCGTCGTGCGCAGATGAAAGTAACGTTTGTAAAGTAAATTAATAAAGTGCCATTTGTTTTTTCAAACTAACGAATATAACCAAACGATTTGACCCTTTGCAAATTGTAACGCCGTGCAGCCTCGCAGCTTTTCGCTCGTGGCTCACGCAGACGGAGGTGCGGCTCGGAGGGGCACGGAAGCACAGATAAGCAGGAAGGCGGCCACGTGGTGAGCTGATGCCACCAATTGCCCAAGCTCTGCCGTCCTTTTATGTCAGTGGTTAATTTGTGAGAATAGGGTTTATCCTTTCTGCCAATAAAACAGGTGTTAAGATGTTCAAACATCAAAGGAATCATGTCTGCGTTAACCACACGTACTCGTGATGAACATGCAAGCAAACGCATTTCCGCCGTACCCTGCGAGCCAAGGTAACGGCACCCTCCTCCTCAACACCCGCGGGAAGTTTCGCAACATTTGTGCGATCTACCAACCCTCGCCTCCGCAGTGCTGGATGACAGCCCGTGCACAGCCACCACCGCCCGGCTACAAATAAGCGGGCGAGATGAGAAGAAGCAGCGGAGTAATGAGGCCCTCCCAGCATGGCTGGCTCACCCCTCATCAGGCCGCCCCTATCGGGGATCGTACGGGCCGACCGCAGTCACGCGATGAGGGTGCGAAGGCTTCACGATGTGCGTCACTGCCACGCAGGTCCCCCAGCTCGCACTGCCCAGCAACTACCGTCACCACAAACACCACCACCGTCGTCGCCACCGCTCCCACCACCACCACCACCGCTACCGCCACCACCACCGTTACCACCACCACCACCGCTACCACCACTGCCGCCACCACCACCTCAACCACCACCACCGCCACCATCGCCACCGCTCCCACCACCACCACCGCTACTACCACCACCGCCGCCACCACCACCGCCGCCACCACCACCTCAACCACCACCACCGCCACTACCACCGCCACCACCGCTACCATGGACTCCGTGGGAGGGGTGGACGACGTTTAGTTTCCAGCATGTGGGAATAAACAGTGTCTCCTTTGTATATTTCCCTTAGTGTTGTCCGCCTCTGACATTTTCCAGATTTTTTTTTGCTACGCCGCGGTGGATAACGATGCATTTTACTTAGTGTCTTGAGCTAAGGCGCTCTATAAATGCAACAAAAATATATATCCTGCTGCAATTTATTCCATTACGCACCACGCAATTGCCGCATGCAAAACAGACAAAGGGAGGGCCCTCTCTGCTATCCGTGTCACCTCCACGCGACTTTCCCGTGGATATTCCGTGCAATGAAGGGCCATTGTTAAAGACGTTGCCCATTATAAATACGGCTTTTACTTTAGGCCCAGAC